AGATCCATTAACAATCTCTACATCTTAATCCTAATTAGTAACTTAATTATTTAAATTAAGTGTGATGGTTAATTTGATTAATAAATTAATTTGAAATTAGAGTTCTGATAATTATAATCATTAATATAAAGTGAAATGTACAGGACAACTTAAAAAGGTTTGCAGCAGCAGCAGTAGGGATTAAATCATAAAGTTACAATGTCTACATTAACTGGCCTTATAATTAATATACATATATATATATATATATATATATATACATATATAAATATTTTGTTCTTCCCTGTCCCCAAGTGTTTGCTCTAGAAAAAGTGAAAGAGTAATCCTTGTCTATTCTTTTGATGTTATACATTATTTGTCCCAAACTTTATTATTGTTATTTTTATTTTTCTCAATTTGGAATTATTCTACAATATCTTGAAGATATTGTGTCTTTTATATTAAAAACAAATATAAAAAAAAAAGTTTTTATTTAATAAAAAAAAGAACGTAGAAACGTAACAATTTATAACTTATATATAAGTAATGACAGATATGTCTATTAATTGGTATTTAACTATTTATTTATTACATCTGTTATTTTATTTTAATTTTTTATAACTGTTAATTTATAATCGTAATCGATAATTTGTAATATACTATAAATTAAAAAATAATATACAAATAAAAATATAATATATACGAGAATACAATATTACTGAAAATATATTAACCGTTGGATATATTTATTTACACGTATATTTGTTCTCTAATTGTAACAGTCTCGAAAATTTAAAAAAAATGTATATATTTATTCTAAGTATAGAAACGAAATAAAATAGATTATTATTAACATCTCTTACACAATAATCAAAACATATTAAAGATATGAAAGAATAAACTAACAAAAGAAAATATTATGAATGAATACTATAAGGAAAACTAATAAATTCTTTGGCTTCTACTCGCCGTCTTCCTGCGGAACGGGCTCGGAAAACCAGTTCTTCCTTTTATGAAAAGGTTAAAGTAAGGAATGAGATACACTAGCCCAGTAAAGATGTCACACTATCTCACTGTCACAGTAGTAAAGGTTGGTAGAAAATAAAAACGACCAATTGAGCATAATTTATAACAAATTCATTTATCAATAATAAAACTCTTTACTGTCCACTTACCTTGGTAAGATCCATGAAAATAACTTATAAAAACAATAACATTATAAACATCATAAGATCGTGCACATTATGTAGCATAACACATATCATACTTTTTTATTTCAATCATCAGACAACAAATTTTCTCTTTTATTAGCCTACTAGTATCCATGAGGATCCATAGGGGTCCCCACTACACGTGAACCATTCACCTAAATTCCAAGGCTGTTTCCATACCCCGTCCGGTATGAGAGCCAGAACCATAAACCTCAATACCTCATTCGGTATGAGAGTGAAGTAGGTCGTCCCCATACCCTGTCCAGTATGAGCGCCAAAATATTTAAAGTCTTCATACCCCATTCGATATGAGAGACCATGTTCCGGTAGGGTTCCCTATGAACCTGATCCGTCCACCATCTCCCAGGATATCTAGTGAGACTGTCGACTTATCTATTTATAAATTTATATACCCTTTTTATTTTTCTTAGTCTCAGTTACCCAATCAACAAGAATACGTAAACCAGTAACGCACACCAAATAAGGCAACACAACATCGGGTTCACAATAATTTAAACCATAATAGATTAAACAGTGATTCATGCATATGAAATCACAAAATAAACAATCAAACATCATACTGCATTTAGACTGTGAAATACGTCAAACAGGAACAGACCGACAAATACATCAAGTTCAGGCCCCATTAGCAATCTCAATTAATTATACATATTTATTAATTCATAAAATACCGTTTTATTATTTATTAAGCTTTAATGTCATGATAGGAAATAGGGTGAGGGATCCGTACTTGTTTCGGAGTCTGAAATCGGGTTCTCACTGCGGTTACGGGCAGTCCCTAGATTTCCTGAATTTTTTTTCGAAAACTGAAACACACTTCTGATACCTGCACATGTCCTCATAAATCCCAAATCAGACTCAGGGCCTATTCGGCCAATTTTAAAATTTCGGCACGGCCTCGGGTTGGCCGTTTCCGGCCGAATTCGACAAAACTTGCATTGATTCCTGTGATAAAATACCCCTAGGACCCTCAGTGGGCCAAAAAAATTCAGAAAACTGAGACTTACCGGCGGCGGAGCTCTCGGGTGCAGCGGCTCTTCCGGCGCGAGTTGCGGTTTGGTGTTTTACTCCAGTCAACTTGTAGAGAAAAAGACGGTGGTCATAGTGGTGTAAAAATTATATCGAACGGGAATCGAGAAGGGCCTCATCGGAGGTAAAAATCGAGTAAACCCGCGGCGGCACCGCTAGGCTTCGGTGGTGTTTTCTGGCCAATTGGCCGGTGGTTTAGCTCCGATTTGGCCACATGTGGGTTCAGCATCGAAAACTGAGCCAATGGGAGAAATTTTATCTCGTTTGGCGGCCGGAAAGTGCCCCGGTGCGGCGGCGGGTGGCGGCGGTCGGTTCCTCTAGTGGCTGGGTTATCTTCTCCGGCGAGGGCTCTGGCAGCTAGGGTTTTGGGGTGGGTGTGGATGAGATTATTTATAACCCTCCCCTTTTAATTCCGCGTGGCCTTACCGCGTCAGCGTCTCTGCCACGCGGCGTGTCCTGGTTGGCCGGAGTTGCTGATCTGGTTGCTGACGTTGTGCAATTTTTTTAAATTGCGTTTTGACCCCCGATTTTCGATTTTCTTTTTAAAAATACTCACAGAATTCGAATTTTCACCCATTTTTCTCAAAATTATTTTCAATTAAACCCCAAAAATAATTTTACCCATTTTTATTATTATTTTTATTTTTATTCTCATTAAATTAAATTAAAACATTTATATTATTACTTAAATAAATAAATAAAAGAAAAAATAAAAATAAAAATAAATTATAATAATTCCAATAATAATAACAAAAAAAAAAAAAAAATTAGGTGTTACACTAATGCTCAAAATCAATAATTGTTTTTGAGATACCAGTGAATGACAGGTATACATACCACTTTATTTTTTATAAAATTAAGTATACAAATTAAAAACTCAAAGCCATTGGCCGTCCAAAATTATTTCGATTATAAAGATGTGTATATATATGTATATGTATATGTATATATATGTTTGACTCTGCAATTCTCAGAATTAACAATAATTTTTGAATTATGGTTATTATAAAGTGGGGAACTATGTATGCTCTCTTTAAAAAAATAAAAGAAATATTTATTCTATAAAGATAAGTCATGTATTAATTAAAAGATTAATTACTTTCTGCTGCATGCAGGAAAAATTGTACTTGGTGATATATGTGTGTGTGTGTGTGTGTGTGTATATATATATAGAGAGAGAGAGAGATAGAGAGAGAGGAATGAACGGTGGGTGAAGAGAAAAAGGTTTGTGATCAGTGTCTGCAAAATGGAGAGGAAAAGCATGCATGGGGTCCAGTATTGGTATGGTGATGAATGATACAGTATACATACACACACACATACATAAATACATATATATATATATATATACAGTACCGCATTTAAATATCTGCAGCAAAAATGCTCAGAAATTCATGGTCCAATTGCGGGAAAGACCAGCACTCACAATGAATGCATCTCGTCATCATCATCAAGATTTTTCATCTCGAACGCAATGAATTTACAGTTCTTATAAGTTTTCCTCCTTATGTTTTGTTTATCTCCTTCAATATATATATATATATATACACATATATATGTGTTTGTGTATTATACGAAGTGTTGAGTTTGGTTTGATGTTGTCTCTTCCACTCATATTATAAATTAATAGTTTGTTTTAAATAATCGTTTACAGCAAAGAGCAGCCGACAAGCTGACCAGATTAGCAGTTTTTATTAATCCGTAAATTATTGTATGTTCATCACGATCATGTGCTCTTCACTATATTTAGATTCCACTCTTACTCTTTTAACCTATACACACACACACACACACACATATATACATATATACATATATACATATATATATATATATCAATATACTTCCATGGAATGAGTACTCCGAGTCCCAAAAATTCATCACTCACTCTAACCAGATGTGTTATTTAATCCACATTTGAAAACAAGTTCAAAAAACCAATGCACACACAAAAACATGCACTTAAATTTCTTAATTAAATTTAATTATAACACAAATTTCTAATCAATACATACAAAAACAATCAATCCAAACAAAACCCATTAAACCCATTAAGGAAAAAAGGGAGAAAAATATACATACACATATACAAATATATATATATATATATAATTAATGGTACTAAAAGCCATCCAGAAAGGTAGTGAAATGCAACTGATAACAAACACATGGAATATTGATGAATTAAGGCCACATAAATTGATGGACCACTTTCTCAGTACATTTGGCTTCTTAAATACACACAATTAATCTAATTTGATCTTATTAAAAAAATAATTAATTAATTAATTAATTAATGACATTTGGGTCTGTTTGGTTTTGAAGATTAAGCTATCACCATCTGGGAGATAATCTATCACCAATCAACCTTTTTAATTAAACCATATTATATTATTATATAGAAACAAAATTAAAATTTTATCTCCTTAAATTTTAAATTATAAAAATAAAATTTAATTTTTTATTTACTATAAATTCACGTTTTTATAATTTTTAAATATAAATATAATTTTAATTTTTTTAATAAAATATAATGTATAATTAATTGTTAAAATTATAATCCGTCTGCAATACAAAATAAAGCTTTATAAATATTTTTTAAATTTATTTTTTAAAATACATCATTATCTTATCGATTTTTTTAAATATTTTTTACAAAAATATAAAAAGAAAATTAGAATCCAAAATTTTTTTACAAAAGAAAAAAAAAAAAAGGAAAAACCCACTTTCATCATCTTCTCTGAGTAAACATGTAAACCAGTTTACAATGGCAATAGAAAAAAAAAAAAAAAATTTAAAAAAAAAAGAGAACAAGGGAGTGTTGGATCGAGATCTTCTTAATTTTCTTCTATAAACAAAACATGGGTTTTCTCCCTCTGCAATCCCAAAACAGATCACCTCCTCCTCTCTCTTCTCTAAACAATGCCTGCAAATCAACTCAATCTCTTTCTTTCATCCCCCAACATCTTCTTCTCCTTCACCTTCTTCCTCTCCTTCAACTCTCTTCTCTTCCACTCTTGTTTCTCAATTGATGACCAGGGCCAAGCTCTTCTGGCTTGGAAGAACCGTTTGAACAGTTCCAGTGATGTTTTGGTTTCATGGACTCCTGCAGACAACTCTCCCTGCAACTGGTATGGGATACATTGCAATGAAAATGGCAAAGTGGTGGGGATAAGCTTGAAAGGAGTTGGTTTACAGGGTTCGTTGCCTTCAAATTTTCAGCCTCTTAGGTTCTTGAACACTCTTGTTCTCTCATCAGCCAATCTCTCTGGCGTAATCCCGAAAGAATTCGGGGAGTATCATGAACTGAATTTCCTTGATCTTAGTGATAATTCTATCTCAGGTGTAATCCCAGCTGAAATCTGCAGCCTAAGGAAGCTGCAGAGTTTGTCTCTCAACACAAATTTTCTTGAAGGTGAGATTCCGGGAGAGATAGGAAATCTGTCCAGTCTTGTTTCTGTGACTCTTTTCGACAATCAGCTGAGTGGAGAAATCCCAAAGAGCATTGGAGAATTGAGGAAGCTTGAAGTTTTCCGAGCTGGCGGGAACAAGAATCTTAAAGGTGAGCTGCCATGGGAGATTGGGAATTGCACCAGCCTTGTTGTTTTAGGCCTGGCTGAAACAAGCATTACGGGCAGGCTTCCCTCGTCGATTGGAATGCTGAAAAAGATTCACACAATAGCTATTTATACTTCACTTCTATCAGGTTCTATCCCAGAAGAGATTGGAAACTGCAAAGAGTTGCAGAACCTATACTTGTATCAGAATTCAATTTCGGGTCCAATCCCGCGAACAGTTGGGGAGCTCAGCAAGCTTCAGAGTCTTCTATTATGGCAGAATAGCTTAGTTGGTACAATCCCAGATGAGCTTGGAAGTTGCAGAGAGCTCACAGTTATTGATTTATCAGATAATCTTCTTACAGGCAGCATACCAAGAAGTTTCGGAAACCTGTTGAATCTTCAGGAGCTTCAACTGAGTCTTAATCAGTTGTCAGGCACTGTACCTTATGAAATCTCGAATTGCACGTCGCTGACCCATCTGGAGTTCGACAACAATGACATCTCCGGTGAGATTCCTTCACTTATTGGCAATCTAAAGAGCCTGACTCTATTCTTTGCCTGGCAGAATAGGCTAACAGGCAGTATTCCAAGCAGTCTTGCTCAGTGCCAGGAACTTCAGGCACTTGATTTATCATACAATAACCTGTCTGGTTCAATACCGAAAGAGATTTTCGGGTTGAGAAATCTCTCAAAGTTGCTGTTAATTTCCAATGATTTGTCTGGCTTTATACCTCCTGACATAGGAAATAGTAAAAATTTATACAGGTTAAGGCTGAATGGGAATAGGCTATCAGGAACTATTCCATCAGAGATTGGAAACTTGAAAATCTTGAATTTTCTAGACTTGAACAGCAATCACCTTGTTGGAAGCATTCCTAAATCGTTATCTGGATGTGAGAGCCTCGAGTTTCTCGATCTTCACTCTAATGGACTTTCTAATCCTTTCCCAGATTCTCTTCCCAGAAGCCTACAATTCATTGATGTTTCTGATAATAGAATCACCGGTCCCCTGACTTCAAGTATTGGATCATTAACTGAATTAACGAAGCTCAATTTGGCAAAGAATCATATTTCCGGAGAAATTCCAGCAAAGATTTTGTCCTGTAGCAAACTACAGCTGCTAAATCTCGGAGATAATGTTTTCTCAGGTAAAATCCCGGACGAAATAGGCCAACTTCCAGCATTAGCAATCTCTCTTAATCTCAGCTGTAACAAATTTTCCGGAGAGATTCCATCCCAGTTCTCCAGCCTTACGAAATTAGGAGAACTTGATCTGTCACACAACAACCTTACTGGTAACTTAAATGTTCTTGCAAACCTGCAAAACCTTGTCTCTCTTAATGTCTCCTTCAATGATTTCTCCGGCGAATTGCCTAACACTCCATTCTTCCAACAACTCCCTCTTAGTGACCTTGCATCAAATCAGGGTCTATACATCTCCAACGGACTCGTAGCTCGAGCTGTAGGACCTGCAGGCCATCGTAGATCAGCAATGAAGCTGGCCATGTCGATTCTTGTCAGCATCAGCACTGTCCTTGTACTACTTGCAATCTACATGTTAGTTCAAGCAAGAATGGCAAACAACAGACTAATGGAAGAAGATACATGGGAAGTGACTTTGTATCAGAAGCTCGATTTCTCCATCGAAGACATTGTTCGAAATCTAACATCAGCGAATGTGATTGGCACCGGAAGCTCTGGTGTTGTGTATCGAGTGACAGTTCAAAATGGCCAAACATTGGCAGTGAAAAAAATGTGGTCAGCAGAGGAATCAGGGGCCTTTAGCTCTGAAATTCAGACACTAGGTTCAATCAGGCATAGGAATATTGTGCGGCTTCTGGGTTGGGGATCAAACCGGAACCTGAAGCTGCTGTTCTACGATTACCTCCCAAACGGGAGCTTGAGTTCACTTCTCCATGGAGCAGCAAAAGGAGGAACAGATTGGGAAGCTAGATATGATATTATTCTGGGTGTTGCACATGCACTAGCCTATTTGCACCATGACTGTGTTCCTGCAATTTTACATGGTGATGTTAAAGCCATGAATGTTTTGCTAGGTCCTGGTTATGAGCCTTATCTAGCTGATTTTGGATTAGCCAGAGTTGTCAATAGCAATGGAGATGATGATTGTTCCAAACCATGTCAAAGGCCTCATTTAGCTGGGTCTTATGGCTACATGGCTCCAGGTATGTTCTTTATCCAATACCCATTATTATTAGCTTATGTTTTAAACTTAAATTTTTCAGTTTCACCCGTTAATTACATTTTAATTTTCTGGGTCTAATGCAGAACATGCATCAATGCAACATATCACAGAGAAAAGTGATGTATACAGTTTTGGTGTGGTGCTTCTAGAGGTTTTAACAGGGAGGCATCCACTAGACCCAACTTTGCCTGGTGGTGCACACTTGGTGCAGTGGGTGCGGGACCATTTAGCCAGCAAGAAGGACCCAGTTGACATTCTTGATCATAAGATTCGAGGGAGAGCTGAGCCTGCAATGCATGAAATATTGCAGACATTGGCTGTGTCTTTTCTCTGTGTCAGCACCAGACCCGATGATCGGCCAATGATGAAGGATGTTGTCGCCATGCTCAAGGAAATTAGACCTGTTGAGATGGTGAGGCAGGAAGGTGAAATCTCAAAGGGAGATTGGTCAGCTCAGGGATCGTTGCAGCCATCACCTCCGTCTCCGCAGAGTAGGATTGTTGTTTCACAAGGATCATCTAACTGCTCATTTGTATTCTCTGATGATTCAATGTAGTCATGGCTCACGAAATCGAGTGTGTCACCGTCTCTGTTTTTGTGAATATTAACATAGAAGATTCCAATTCAACAAGGCTGGGGAAATGGGTTTAATTAGTTTGTTTTCTCTGGATTAATTTGTAATGTGAATTTAAATAATTAATTTGTTAAAATAATTAACAAATATATAAAAAGAGAAACTAAAGAGAATTCTGCACTTAATATTTCGTTTTTCATCTTAGAGAATTATCATATCTTATATGTTTTACATGACAAATGCCTTCTAGAGTTTAAAAGTTTTATATAAATTAATAAAAAATAGACTAGATAATACTAAATCATCACAAAAAAAGCAGAACTTAAAACTACAATTAAGTTAAACATTAGGTTAATTAGAACTGTTAATTATCCTATTATATAAGCTATCTTGGTACAAGGGAAGACAAGCATTTGTTCTTGGAAACTGGAAGAATGACTGCCGGGTATGGAGGAACTGGAAAAATGATTGGCATAGCCTTGGGTTTATTCAACCAAGCTTAATGCATTGGCAAGAGATTCTTTCTCTGTCTCATTAAATATTTAAGCCTTTTTGGCAGCAGAAACTCACATGGCCACAAGCTCCTTCCATCACATGCTCATGTGCTGTCAGAAAATGACTTCCCAAAGTAAATACAATATTTAGTAGTCCTTGTAAAGCTATACTAACCTTGATTTACAAGAGAAGAATTGTGAATGTCCTAATCAGCAGCACATGCATGGGAGCAGGACCATCATACCCCCATATACATATAGTTTTCCAAGGCTAAACACAAAACACGGCACAACTGTTCCATAAACGACAAGCACACATGCTAGCACTTAAAAAACTCCAATGGGCTTGAGTGTATTGCAGATCTAATGGAATGGGCGAACATGATGTGCAAATGTATCCATCTGTGCTTTATCCAACTTCCAAGCTTAACCGCAGGGATACCAAGATGCTGCGAGTTCAAGTTTTCGGGTTATATGCATCTTCAAGTATGAACAGATAAATGATGCATATAATGACAAAAAGCATCACAAAAAAAAAAAGGGTCTTTTGTTTTTATTCAAATAATTAAATATCTGTACAGGAAAGAATTCTACCTCCAGAATTAATTTAAAGAACCCTGTTGGTTGAAGAAACATTAACGAAGCAGTTCAACTTTTCATTTGTCTTCGAGATCGGTAGTGGCTCATTATGGCTTTGCTTCTGTCCACCTGGACTATACAGCTATAGGTAGGTTGTTATAGTTGAGGCTAAATGATCATCCTCTTGCACATGGCTATATAGACCAATAGCATTAAACCCTTATCTATAATCTGTACAGCATGACTCACATTTCAAGGGGTAACTGGTAGGTGTGAAATATCAACTAAAGTGGGATCAGAAATGAGCCTTTTGTTTCTACCTTGGAATATGAAATCCTTAGCATCCTTTAGTGAGGACACTCAGATTCTAACTTCTTCAGTATAAAGGAGATAACACCCCAGTTGAAACCACGATACTGTAGCCACCGGATAATCCTTGATTTACGTGTCTCTTTAGGCACATCCTGACCTCGGAACCACTGTTTTGATGCCTGTATATATAAATGGTCCATTGAAAGCTTTGATAATCCAAAAGTTGATTCTTGAGCTTCACTAGATTCACTGTCCTCAAAAACCAGTTTTACTGCCTTCTCTGCATCAGCTTGACTTATCCCCTTTTTCAACAATGCCTGATCCAATAATGATGCTCAAATCAATCAACCTTTTCCCTTGAAAACAAATGATTAAAAAAAAAAAGAGATTCTCCTAATGATTTTTTTTACTAAAAAAATTACTATAAGGGATTATAAATGAACAAATTCTTGGGTGAGATGCTATATGAGGAAGTAATACCTCTCATATAAAAATTTTGCAACTTCAATTCTATCAAAAAATGAATTCAGTCTGTCCCTTGAAAAGTCCCAGTGAGTGTACATGTTATATATGACAAAGATTTAATTGCTGAAACACTAGTAGTCAGTTTTCTTTAACTGGAACTTTATTTATGTATTTATTTTTATAAATAAGAGAGAAGTTTAATCAGTGCATTAATTTCATGTATGATTGAAAAGATCGGTTTTGTAAAAATCTGGATCTTAGAAACAAAAGTTTGTTACACTACTATTGGAGTTTATATAGTGGTTTATCATGATAAAATCGCAAAAGACTGCTATGTTTTTTCATCTGTAAAGACGGATTTTAACATTATACTCCAGATACATGGCAAGAATGAGATGCATCAGGCCGCTAAATAAATCAGAATTCCTGAATCCAATCATTATATAATCCAAGTTCCTAACCACCTAATACTCTTTTCTCCCCAAATACAATGGCCAAGTCTCCAAACAGAAGCAACAGATTAAGCCACAATGAAACAGGACTTGAAGGCCTAAATTGATGTAGAAAACTGCAGACTTATTCCTCAAAGAAAAATATAGAGACCGAAACTCCAAAATTATGCAATAACATACTTGACAGAAAAAAATAATACTAAAAGAGGAGGCTTACTTGCTTGATCCGCATTGGACCCCAGCTTGCAGAAGACCATCTAGATTGAGAAAAAGATTCTGCATACAAGCTATCGTTGATAAGCCCTCTGGAAAAAAGATTGAAAAATAATCAAATACTAGGCGTAATGAGAGATACACTTAAATCTTTGATGCAATATGTGCCTAAGAAATTGATATTCATGGGATAGCCAACAAATAAGCCTCAGGTCTAGCAGTGATTCATGAATCAGTTGTCAAAACATCACGTGTTTGGGGATAAAGGAAATCTCAAACATCACAACTGTTTCTGATCCAAAATATGAGTGTTGATGCCTAAAGATTTTTCAGAGGACGAGTAGTCCACAACCTCAAGAACCTGCTTCATCGGAAGATGTATCAGTCTTTAACCTACCATATCTATCTCTTCTTTGCATAGATGCTATCCGACTTTTTCAATATGGGCCCAGAATTGACACATTCCTCATGGTAAACCAGGAGGGGATGCCTTTGCACATGAGGTCCTCTCCATTGCAAATAGCCAAGTTGTCTGGGTGATGGTTCATCCAACCTTTGCCTTAACCATTAAGGAAGTCCCATGGGGCAAATAAACACAACCCATTGCATCTATCTTTCTACTGCTATATTGGCATAATTAAAAGATACTTCCTTCATGATAGAGCTATTTTTAAGTGAGTTTATATTAAGATTTCCAACTGTTACTAGATAATTCAATACTGATAAAGAGAATTATTTGAAACTATCGGAGAATATGCTCACAAAAAATATAGAAACCATGTTTCATAAATTTAAAACATACAAGAAATATTCCCTATTCAAGGCAGGATGAAACATCAAAAAATAAATGAAAATAATATAAACAGGGATTTAAATATTGAGAAAACACTAAAAGCTCTATTAATGAATTTTTCATCCAAAGTTCCCATGGTAAGATGGCAAATACAGACGGATAAATAATAAACATCATTAATACTGACTTGGTTGCATATAACATTTAAAAATATTGATAGAAATGCTAAGACAGCTGAATATCAGCCAAGTTAACTTCTCAAATACAGTTTTTTTATTAGAAATAATCCAAGCTAATATTTTTCTAAATAGTCTTCCACACACCTGCTCTTGAAACTGTCTATCACTCGCTCAATGACATCAGAAGGAAATCTCTTCCCATGCAGCTTCTTCCTCAGCTCCACTGAAGTAAATGCTCTGCTTAAAAGGAGAAGGAACTTTTCAATCAAGTAAAAAGAAAAGAAACCAAAAATCATAGACTCCTTGTCACAAGCATCTACATGCATATCGAAAATTTCTGTAGCCTATGTATTTTAGATCTAGTTAACTATTATTAACCAGAGATAATCATAGACAATGTACCTAAGGATTAAATAAACAAAATTCCTCCTTGCTTCTTTGCTCAATAATTAATAAGAATCCTATAATGTTCCTACGACCACCTATGAATTTTTTAATATTATCTAAATTCTCTAATTCCTTATAAGCTGCAGAAGTAAACAAAGTCACTTTTACTTCACAGTCTTACCCAATAAGAACAGCTTAAGTATATCAAGAATATGCATTACAGCTAAAGTAAACTAGAGCTTAGTCGAAAAAATAAGAATGAAGGTGAAGAAATTTTTACAAATAATATAGTCCTCTTATACCTTGGCGTTGGTTCACTCCTGAAGATTCTAAGATCCATTTAATGAGTGGGAGTACTCAAACTATAAATTGAGTCATACATTCAACAGACTGAAATTCTATCACAAAATAAATTTTAAAGTCTATCACTGTTGATTACCGATTTGTCAATGAGCATCTGTTGCCAGGTACATATTGAACCATCTATGTTTAATGTAAAATAACTGATAGACCAAAGTTATGAAGCAACAGCAAGCTGGGAGGTAACCTTGTAGCAAGTACTTTAATAGCTGAGTTCTCCACAATTTTCATGGTTTCACCAGCTTGCAGGTCCTGCTTATGAAAATTCTCAACTTCAGATGTTATCATCTCCTCAACAACATCCTCCGGATCTTCAGTGAATTCATCATCTCCAAACTCTAAAGCAAAAGCATGATCAATATCTTCTTTTAACTCTGTCAAAACAAAAATATTTAGCTTTTGCCTAAAATATTGACCCTTCATTTGTAGGAAGTGAAAGTAAATGCTTGCTGCCCATTCTTAGCATACTCCTAGAAGCATCAAAATTTCCAAATCATCACTCAAAATTCAAGTTCCAACACCACTAATGGCGAGCGCAAAGCATTAGGAATGCTCTCCGTCCAGTAAAAAGAAAAGTAGAAATTTGTTTCAATATGTTAAAGGAACGCAAAACACAAAACCTTGTTTAGAATGAGCATGCAACGTATCAAGCTTGCACGTTCCATTTCGGTTTTGGTTCTTGACATCCAAGAATAAATGCCTTCCTGTATGCCTTCCATTCTTTGCAATCTCAACCTCCAATTCACCTGAAGTACTATGATATTTATCTCTCTCAGAACCTCCGAGAGGCAGAAAATTTTCTGATTCATGACCCTTCCTAGATTTTTTGGGACTGTATCCAACTGGAGCTGATGAAGTGAAGTTCCTTCCCTTCAAACACAATATTTCAGTGTTCTTGTTCACCCTAAAAATTGATTTGAAAAGAAAAATATAGATATTAGCATTTAATTGCTGTGACAAACTCCGTATGGTATGTTCCCTCTAAATATCAAAACTCAACTACTAAAATCTCCATGAAACTTCAACTACATCCGCTCATTATGAAGCAGGAATTAATGGCTTTCATGTTACCTGAATAATCAAAGCTTTACTACTAAAATCACCATGATACTCATGTTGCATTCAATCATTATATAAGCAAACAATCACTCCATTTGTTGTTAACGGGATTAAAGATAGGATAAAACTCTGTGTCATTTAATTGCGATATTATGTTATTAGTTCCCCCTAAATATCAAAATTTTTACTACCAAAATTCCCATGAAACTAAACCGCCCGAACATTTCAAGCATCAGTCAAGAATTTCCACCATACCTATAGTTTTCACGCAACTAGAAAGGAAAATATGTTGACCAGTTATACTGTAAGTAAAGCAGAAACAGAACTCAGGATAAAAAGAACGGAGAAACTGAGAACAGGCCTCTACCAGGGAATAGAGATAACCCGATGTTGAGGGGCGAACGGGATTTTGAACCCTAACCTAAGAATCGTCATCTCTTCCAATTACGAATCCGAATTTCAGACACCGAATTTGGGATTTTGAAAGGCGCGTGTCTGTCAAAGTCCTTAAAGGCGTTTGGCAATCGGTTCCACCGGGGGAACCAGGAAACATTTTTATTTATATTTAAAAAATATTATTTATGTTTATAAAAATGTTATTGTTTAAATTTATAAAATAATTTAATAATATGATATATACAAATAATTTCAAGAAAGTAAAAATTAATGACTACAGAATTATTGAAATTAATTATTAGTTAATAAATATGAATTGGCAGGTTACATAGAATTAATCAGTTTATTTTAAATTTTTGTTAAAAAATATATAAATAAAATAATTAAGTTTGTAAAATATGTTAGTTCATATGTGTTTTTAGTATATTTGTAATTAATCACAAAAAATATATTTTTTTTGTTTCAATAAATGAATTATATTTTTATATACAAATTTTTTTATAAAGTGTATTTGGGGGGTTTTTAAATTATAATTTTATTTTTTGATATTTTTATAGTTTTTTTTAATTTTAATATTAATATATAAAGTATTTCTTTTTTTTTTTTTATTAGATAATATTTACTTAAAAGATAAAATTTAGACAAACCCAATTGATAATATTATAATTATCTCACAACGTGCAAAAACATGTATAAATATATATGTATATATATATATATATATGCACAAACACAAATAAAAAATTCCAAATATTTGTTTTAAAATGTTGAAGATCTTGAAAATACATATAATTTACCAACAAAAATTTCCTTTACATCTATCAATCCCAAATTCCAAAATTGTCTTTGCCCAATGATGATCTCAGAAATTATCATCTGGTAGTACTTCAATTTCTTATCTCCACACAAAGTTCATTCAATTTTCCATGCATACAAAATATGATAACATTCAAGAGCAGACTGACTCAGATCTTTACTTTTCTTTTCATTAATGGTATTGTTGTTGCTGTAATTCTTGTGTTTGTTAGGTTCGGAATCTAGAGGACCCGGCTGAAAAACGAACAGGCCATGAGACGATCCAGAGCTATTGAACAACCAATCGTGGACATCCCATAAAATTTGTACAGGAACATCATTAACAGTAATAGTCTCATTTCCTCTGAATCGCCAATTTAAATTCATGATTCGGATCTCCATCGTCCCATCCACTGTAATCCACATTTCGGGATCATCTGGCCCTGAAAGAGAGCTTTCAATCACAACATCATGTTCTTTTTGTGATTCGTCGAGCACAGCTCTTGTGTAGAATAATTTTTTCCCATAAACATGTTCTTTCTTGTAGAGCAAGGTAGCTTCAGCTGGTGAGGGTTTTTTTCTAGTTCTCTTAAGAGCATCGTTCTTTAAATCACCTAAAAGTAAAACTACCTCTTCTTCACACACTAGAGCCACGTAATAATCCGAACAAGGATCTGGGCTGCTCGAGAATTTGGCTTGTCGAAAATCCCAAAACACGTCTACCCTTCTGCCATCTACTTCTAGGTTTTTTAAACCTTTCTTACCCCAAAATTGCCAAGCTTTTAAATCAATCTTACACGTGTAATGATTCTGATCGTCTTTCATATTCTCTACGGTGATGCTAAACGAATGATTAATAAGATTCTTGCTCCATGTTGCTGTTACATTGCGCAACAATTCTGCTATTTTAGCTTGGTAGATGAAGGCAACAGAACTCTGTGCACCTTTATTATCGATGTGTTTCTCAACAGATGATAACTTCGAAACGAAGGGAACTCCTCCTCCCGATGGATGATTCATCGTGTTAAGAACTTGTTCAAATGATCTTGAATAGGTCATTTGTGGAAATGCTTGATTTTTCCAGCTTGTCATGGAATTTCGACCCCATAAATGGGCTCTTGAAGTCAATTATTTACCAAATCCTTAGAAAGAAGAAATTATACAACAGAAAAAATTATATGAATTCCAAGATCTAATTTCTTGGGTGATCAACATCAATAGTACTTTAGATTCTCATTGGCAAGAAGAAGCTGATTAACCCAAAGAATTTAGATGAACAAAAACTTACATGTTATTGCAGATTGAAATGTGCCTTCAAGAAAAGATATGATGTGGATTTGAAGCTGATGAAAATTATTGCTTCCATTGAAGGCTAAAATATAAATGGATAATAAAGACAGCAACCAGAAAACCCAGTTGGAAAGTTTGAAAATTTTGCAAGAATGTATTCGAGAAAACAGACGAACCCGTGAGACGTTATGGAAGAACCGAAAAAACAATGATGCTTTTTGTCGAACTTTGCTAAATATAAGATTAATTTTATTGATTATAATTTAAAAACCATGGAAGTTTGTAGCTAAATTTAGATATTCTAGCATCAGTTTCTACATGTTCTACAACTATTTTTAGTGAATACAACAAGTCTAGTTTGTAAAGATTATATTACAAAAGTATTCTAATCAATGTTAGGATGGTTTGACAGTTCATCTGCAAAATTTTCTTCATTAGTTTCATTCTTTTGTTGGGCATTAGGATTGAAAAATTCAAGAGAACAACAATACAGTAAAAGAAAAAAAAAAAATTTAGTGTTGTGATGTAAATAAATTTTAATTATAACAATGAAATTAATGACAGTAAAAAGTTTTCTAGTGACAATTTAATTGACAAAATTTAGGTTTCATCTATATTGATTTTATCTATGTACAAGTTATAGTTTTGTATACGCACTAATTAGTGCGTTGTAAATACAAATTTCTAAAAATACTATACTCGCGATATTGTTAAAATATACTTATTATATATAAAAAGTATTTTAGAAAATAACGATAATCGGTAGAGATATATCATAAATTTATAAATAACTTTAATAAAAATTATATTAGTAAAAAAAATAGTATAATTAAATAACTAAAACATAAGTAAATTACTTATTATAATTTCTAAAATATAGTAATGAGGCATAAACTTTTTTTTTTTTTTGAAGTAATTAACAGCCGGTGATCCATTACAATAGAATTCAGCAAAATCATCTCTAATTAACACATTCTCAGAAATCATTATAAAGTATGCAACCCAGAACTCGAACTTAAATTGTCACTATACAAAATTTAAAGTATTCGAGGCAACAATTTTCAGTATTGTATTGTGTAAAATTCTCAGGGCAAAATAAAAAACTTCCCGCGAGGCGTTGATCGGCTTCTCCTAAATTCAGGCATTGATGTGTTACCACCTTCCTTTTGCGGGTGGATTATACCATTTGATACCTTGGTTTCAAGCTTCCCTGTGAAAAAATTCACTGATGTATCACCACCTTCCTTTTGTATTATACCATTTGTAAGCTTGTTTTCGAGTTTTCTTGTGAAGAAAGTTTCTCCCATCTGCATTGGTCCCCTGCAAGTTGAAAAAAAATGAATAAGCAAAATGTTTATGAATTATAAACATTACAAAAGACTCGTTAGATCATAATATAAAATTACGTAGTCATCAGTACAATTGTTCAATAGATATATCAACTAGTATAGTTTCTCATACGAAACCATACCTTGGCTCAAGATTCTGAGAATTTCTAGAAGAGTTCTTTTGGAACTTCTTCACTTTCAATCCTGATCCAAGAAGAAAATTCTCGTTTTCCGCTTCAGAGGATTCGCTCTTTCTTGGCTCGTCTATTTTTTCACTAACATCAATTTCAGAAAGCAAAGAATTTCCCATCTCAGACCTCTGGAACCTGCCTGTTATTTGATGCTTAGCTTTAGCCTTGGTCTCTACAGGCTTGCTCTTTCTAATGCCACCTTCTCTTATATTAAGAACTTGCCTAAACTGCTCCTCTTGGTGTTCTGAGTAAAGTTTTGTCTTTTGAAGGTTGTAGGAAGTGTCTGAGAACTTATCTTGCTTCGAAGGCTCTTGTGAAGCCAAATACTGCCTAGAGTTAGTATCTGCTGATGGCACTGCAGGGATCGATCTGTTGTCTGGTACTCTGGCCGGAAATGGAATTTTAGAGATTGGTTGGTTTTCAACTGTTTCGGGTTTGATCCTGCCTCGGGCGAAGGCTCCTCTATCGGTAGATATTGATCTCCTAACTGGAGGTGAGGGTGTCCTTGGCTTTCCAGAGCTCCCTAATCTATCCTCTGCTGTAATTGACAACTTTAACATTGTGTCCTTGTCCGTGAGTGCAGAAGGAAATCTTGACCTTCTTTGCTTCCCTGATGAGCAGCTCATAGCCTCGAAAATTTTTAACTGCAAGTTAGAGATATGGACCAAACCATGTTCCATTTTTCTCTATCACTAATTTCTTCACTAATTAAGTCATGTTCTCCGCCACTAATTTTTTCACTAAGCAAACTATGTTTCCTTACTCTCTACCACTAACTTTTCCATTAACGAGTCTTTAACAAATCTCTAAATAATAAAAACCAAAACGCACTAACTTCTCTACTAATAATAGAAATAATTCTAACATCTATTTTAAAAAATTAAACTAAAATAGATAATAAATTCAGTTAAATAAAGATCATGTGCTGACTGGTGTTACAATTTTAATATGGTATCCTGAAAACTTCTGTTATTAATCAATTGGATCGAACCAGAAAAGTAAAAGATACAAACGATCTGCGTTATGAGTCAATCAACATGACATAATTCACGTGAGGGATGAATCCAGATTTCTTACAAAAGAATTTACCTCGGAGACTTTATTGTCATAATTAGACTGCTGATTTGCTTCCGGCTTAAAATTGACACCGGTACCGTATCTTGGCATGTGAAAAGGTGAAACTGCTCTTGATTTTTGGGATTCTGTCATGTTGCTTCGAGCATTTCCAGCTTTCCATTGTTCCACTTCGGCTTCCTTCTTCTCCAAAGCCAATTTGAGATTCGAGATCTGAAATTGATTAAGGAACATTTCTCGATAAGATTTTTGTTAGAATTGAAACTAATAGAGAGAAAACTTTATATTTTTAGGACAAAAAAGGTATACCTCTTCTTTAAGTTCACGTATTTCGCCAGTTTCTTTATTAGATTTTGCAGCTCCAAGTTCAATGGAAGCAACTCTCTCAGCAAACTTGAGTGTGCTAATGGTTTCTCCAATGGCATTGAGCTCGGGATTTATATGTACGAACATTAATGTTTTAGCTTGCCCTCCTATATATAAGATGAAAATTATATGAAAATAAAGAAAAAAACAAGAAATTTAAAGGGGAAAGATGAATAAAACGATTAAATCATGAATAATTCATTACAATGACGAACTATCCTAAACTGATATAACGACCAAGCATATAAAAAGTACCTAAAGAATCTTGTAATACTTGAGTAAGCTTGCTGTTTCTATAAGGAACATGTGGACTCTTCTGGGCTAGAGCAGATATGACATCTCCAAGAGCAGATAGTGACCTATTGATATGTTGAGCTTCCTTTAATCTCTCACCAACTGCCTCCGATTTATCCACTCTCTCGCTACCCGCAAGGTCTACTAAATGCAGGCAGCCCCGGAGAATTGATCCAGAGACTAAATCTTTTCCTTGGACATGAACTGTCAAAACACTGCAATTTGTTGAATGTGACAAAACAATCGTTAGCAAGAACTACGTTTACACGATGGATAATAAATTTCAGTGAAAAAGAGAGAGATTTACCTATGAGAACGACTACTACGCTCGTTGAGAGCTGTAGCGCCCACAGCACGATTCTTTTGGCCAATTCTCATCAAATCAAGAACATCATTGATATTGGAAACTGGAAATAGACATGCATCAGGGACATTGAGGCCATTAAGTTGGGAATTGTTACGAATATCTAACGTGAAAAATTAGTCAAGGAGAATCGCAAGTTAAAGGTTGGTCATTTTGTGAAGGTAGAACAGGAAGCATGTAAAAAAAGGATATCTTCTAGATGATCCATCACTGACTAATAGATCTCTAACTTGTTCATTGTATATTTCGATCATTTGAACCCCGATTTCATACTTTATGATATCTTTTCTTGCCTTCGATAGCTGGAATAGGTCTCGCAGAGCTCTGTAGTTTACACCCCATGTCTTCTCGGTCATCAAATCAGGGCCACTCTGCAAAAAGAAAGAAAATTAACATGGTATTATGCTGAATTTAGACTTAATAAATAAGGTATATGGATGATAGAGAATCTATTTTTCCTTTTGCAAGTTGAAATTACCATTGTGTATGTCTTTCCTGAGCCAGTTTGCCCATATGCAAAGATACAGACATTGAATCCATCAAGAACAGACCGGATCAAAGGTTGAGTATCGATGTATATTTGTTCTGCACGAAAAGAACGAATGCCCGTCCTTAGAACAATGCTTTTCGTGGAAATTCTAATTAATTCTATTGAAAAAGACTTGTTATAAGATGTAAAAAATACCTTGTGAGCTGTTTTGTCCAAAAACTTTGTTGAAAGTAAAAATTTTTCTTGCATCTTTGCCCCGCTTAAAAGGATTAACAATCATAATATTTCCATTTTCTCCGATGTAATCAACAGTCGATTGTGATTGTCCATTCGATTGTCCTTGTAAGAAGGGTCTAACTCTGCAATATACTCTAATTGTTCCTACACAGAAGCCAGTGATACAATCCAATTTATGTCAAGTAAAATGAATCAATTCAAGAATTGAAATGAAACCATGAGAATATCATCAAAACCTTTAAGGTCTTGGACTTGATTGTAAAGCAAGCGATTCTCTTCCAAAATTTTCTGGTAAGAAGAAGATGCAACTTCAAGGCCCTTGATATGATGCTCTGAGAAAACCCGAAAAAAGAAAAACATTTTCGTCGAATAAGATTTTATGCTTATTACAACATAAATGATTTCTTGTGGAAGAAGTTTCTATTGTCTTATCACCTAGCCTTTTAAGTTCTTCCTCCCATTCTGATTGAATCTGTTCAACTTCTTGTCTTGTCTCTTGGAAATATAACTTTACTTCCTGAAATTATTGAAAAGAAGAAGCGTGTTATTGTCAAGTATGATCAAGATAAAGAAAAAAAAGATGTATTAACCAAAAAAAAAAATCTTACTTCCTGTCTTTGCTGAATATCAGTAAGAAGAGCATGATTTGGAGAGTCCTTGACTCCATGCCAAGTTCGTCCGGATTTCCCCTCACAAACACAGAATTTGGAGAAGTCACTTGATACCACTCTAGTTCTATGCACTAGATATCGAGAGATAGCTTCTACAAATTCTGGTTTCGATAGAGATCCGAACTCACTTGCCAATATTTTCTTCAAGAACAAACCTAACTGCAGTCGATGATTGAAAAGATTACTTCAAATTATTATTAGACCATAAATAATCAATCAGAAATATGTCTTCATCCCAAAGACAAAAATCTAAAAATAACTTGGTGCAAAAATGGTCGGTAATTCTCGTAGTAGGATTCCGAAGATGTTAATTACCTGGGTGCCTTGAGAAGCAAGTAATGCAGAGAAGTCCTTAACTACCTTGCTCAGCAATGTATCTATCATCTGTAAAAAAAATTTACTATAATTACTAGTCACAACAGTAATATACATCAAATAATTAAAATATATGAATGAAAAAAACATGTCACGAGCAGAATCTGATCATATGATCTAAAATTTACATTTGTTATCCGAGCTGAAAAGTTCTGTAATTAACCAACTAATGGGAGAGCAAATGGTCTAATTATTTCGACCTCACATGGTATAAGTAGCATTGAGACAGGGCTTACCTACCATTGCATTTAAAGGAAACTCTTCAATCCCATTACTTTCTTTAAGGAAAGCCTGTATTAGGCGAAGGCTGAAATGATCAAAAAGGAAAGCCAGAGTATTAGCAGTCTTCGATTCTTCGATTGAGATCTCCTCGGAAAGATGAAGAAACTCTAGAAATTGTTCGTATTGTGATGATTCTGATTCATCAACAGAAATGGACTCGTATGTAGTTTCACTTCCAACCATGGATGGTGGCGATTCCTTTGGGAAGGATGTGATCTTTACAATTCCCCCGTATCTCCAAACTCCGATTCCACCCACCTGCTTCCACTCGAAGTATCCTTTTAAACATAGAATACAATCGACAACTTTACTCGATGATCCTCCCTGTAGAATAATGTACCAAAATGAGAAAACTTCATAGCATCAAAAGGTCGTATTCTGAAATAATGGATCGAAAACTATTGAATTTATATATTAACACGTCCCTCACATATAAACCAGGTTATCTAAATATGTGAATTAGCAAATTTCCCAACCTTTTCCAAATCAGATGCTTCAAAGGTCAAGAGCTGCATAGCTTTAACAGCCACAAGGAAGTTCCTCATGTTCTCAAAATACTGAATTGCAGACTGTGCTGCACCCTCGGCTGATTGAATTGCCATGATTGGATTTTCGACAACCTGAATTGATCATATCGGAACAACAATGATCAAATCTGTCACTTTGCATATATTAATTTTTTTTGTAAAATATATTAAAAGTCTTAGCAAGAACCTTAAGAACAGCGCCAGGATTGACTTTGTTGAGGACATTGCAGAGAATGAGGCCATTGCGAAGGGCGAGGCAGAACTCTTCTTCTGAAGGTTCTGTCGATAAGGTTGCCGATGCACCTTGGTCCATCTGCCTCAGCCATTCTGCTGCCTGGTATCTTCTTAAAGCTGATCAATTATATATATCATTAGGGCCTAATGTGTCAGATTCATAATATGAAGCTTATCAAAATGTATATAAGAAACAAGATATATCATTAGGGCCTAATGGGTCTAATTCCTCCTCAATTACTCATGGCAATCAGTGTCTTTTCACTAATTCATGCTTAAATTTTGTTAACATTTCTAAAGAGAACAAACTAATTTAAACCTCTTTCTAAGCCATGACCAACATCTTCACTAATAATGAAGGTATCAAATTTATCAAACATGTTTCGAGATTCAGTTAATAGGATGATCACCCAGATTTGGAACATCATCATGATTTTCAAAAATTTTAATCACAGAAAGAAATTTAATAAATTAAAGTCCATAAAAAAATTTTATGGATGAACTGGGACATACCCACCTTCTGCTCTTCTTTGTGGCTTAAGGAAAGTAATATTAGTGAAAAACATAAATACATATATATATATATATGTATTACCTGCTTCTCCAGCTTTTCTTTGAGCCAATTCATAGTCATTAATATCTTCACTGTATGAAAGATCATTGTTGTTTGAAGCCAAAGACTTCAGTCCTCTCAAATTCTTGCAAGGTGATATGAAAACTGGGTTAGTGCTGGTTTCTTGGGGCATGTTTGGATATACCTCTCAGTCTCTGATGACAAAGTAAATAAGTAAGCTATTTTTATGGAATGCACCAAAAAACATTGTTAGTCATATAAACACACTAAACTACTTTTACTAAATTAAGCTGGTAAGAAAGTTGAACAGAAAAGAGAAAGTTGGTGAGAAGGACAAGTGCAGAATTGGAAAATTTGTAGGTAGCTAGCCTATGATTCAGAATACCCATATAAGAAATATACATCCAGACAAACAATACCATGAATATGCAAGAAATATATACATATATACATAGTAGTACTCATCAGAAAGTTCATCTGCTGCATACAAGAAGCTGATCTGTCAAGAAAACAGAAGAAATATGGTGAAAGTCTGTACCTTTAGAGGGTCTTCGAGGTCCGAAAACTGAAAACCCAGAAATTATAATGCTGCAAGATACGGGAGGAAAATGAAGAGTTTCAGTAGTAAATCCGATTTGAATTAGGAAGCGGGAAGCCGGTGGTATCCGAACAAGACTCTCGTGTGTTCATTAATGAGAATCCTAAGGCCTCTGCGACAAAGACCGTACAAGGGAGTGAACACAGAGGGACTCTGCAAATGGGCAAAAGCACTTGTTGAACTTGAAAAAAAAATGAAACGTTGGAAATCTCTTTTTAACTTCTCTACAATTAAAGCCACATCCAAACAGTGCATAACGGCAACATACATAATTAAAGTTTTCATCTTTATAACTACACTTCTTTTACATGGTTAAGACCAGTGGATTCCGTTGACTTTTTGTTGCTTTGACCTGGATTGTGGGTCCAAGTGGCATGCTGAGAAGGCAAGATGGGTTATGATCACTTGATGGGTTCTACCGATTGTGAGAATGGACGGCAGGATTGGGGCCAAAATCATGGCAAAAGGGACTCAGAATTTGCTTTATAAAGTTGTGGGGAGAGACTGTAAATCGATGATGGTGTGTCTGGCTTTACATTATCATTACTATGCATTAATGTGTATGTATATGTATGTATGTGTATGACATCAGGGTGTTGTTCTTGTGGTGGTGGATATGGACCGTCCGATGTGGTTTTTGATTGAGGATGATTCAGAATGATTAATTTAGGTGGTGCTTTATCAAAGTTAAGTATGGACCACTTTTTAATGATCAACAGCCCTGATTTCATGGCTTCGATCAAGGTCATTCCCAAAACCAGAAGTTCAGGAAGGTTAACATATTTGTTTTAAATATAAGTTTATATTCTTGTGCTTGTTTCATATGCTTGCCCCAAAGACATGTATACACACACACACACACACAATACATATACATATACATGGCTAATCTCAGTATAAGTTAAAAGACAGGGTTATGTGGTATTTATCTCCTAGTGTTTGGCGAAGAAGAAAGGACATGGTAGGTGAAATTTGACAGAAGATTCTTCAGAGAAAATTAAATAGAATTATTTTCCCTCTCTTTTGTTCATTTTTTTTTTCTTTTAAATTTTTCTTAAAGAATACAACAACAAACTCGGCCCCATCATCTTATTTTATTACGGTGCATATCGTTCTTGAAATCGTTTAAAATTTAGCTATACATTTCTTTATATATGTGTGTGTATATATATATATATTTATGGAATATAATATAGACCCACATCGAAAGAAAAGGAAAATAGAAGAAAAAAGTAGATGTTGAGAAGATCTTTTTGAAATGAAGAGGAAACCAAAGTGAAAAAGTCCACAATAATCCATTAATGGAACGTTGGATCCTCCATTTCAAATGATTGCAGAGGTAAAGCGTTTTTTTTTTCTTTACCATTTCTTCATTTTCACTTTTCTTTTTTGCTTTGGATTAGTTAAAGAAAGAAGTGATTGAGGGAAAACTTCATTTATAAGCATACAAAAGGGTCAATTAATCAATTTGTTATGCTAATTGAAACCAAAGTTTATGCATATACACGGGTGTATATATATATATATATATATATGTGTGTGTGTGTGTGTATACACATGATAGTCAAAGACTAACTCAATGGCTTTCTTAAATTTTTCTTGAATGATGTGAGGTATTCAATGCAAGACTCATTGACATGGAGACAATATATATATATATATTATATATACATACACATTACATATTATTATCTTATTTCCTTCAAATTTATTATGTAAAATCTTATAAATATAAAAAATGTACTCGAATAAAATAAATGTATTGACTATTTGGTGAATGTTGATTTTTTTATATATTTAAATGTCAATACTTCTTACAAACAATTACGAGTGTCTTTTAATCCCGAATGTACATAAAAAAAAATAAAAAAAAAACTCTTAAATATCTTAAACTTTTTATCTCTATTTGTAATCAAATATATATATATGTATATATATATTAACTAATTGTTTTGGTCCATCCCTCCCCTCCATCATTCACGCATGCTCATCTCTACCAAGTTTTCTTTTTTTTTTTTTTTTGTGAGTGGCGCAGAACTAATCAACTACATGTCCATATATACATACATATACATATATAGATATATATGTAATATATGCGGACTATACTTACATCGAGCTTCTTTAGAGATCAAATTAACAAAAAGAAAAAAAGAAAACATTTCTTGTTGATTTAACTTTTGCTATGCGATTTGATCATCATGATAAATCCTTCCACTCATTTTTAACTTATTTCTTTCTTATTTCTCAAGACAACTAGAGATGATGCATTTGCTCCTTTCCACATAAAAGAATTAACATATGATTTGCGAATTAACGGCATGTATGTATCTTCATCATTTCCGATTAAGTATTGAAAGATAGGAACTGAAAATCGAGTATTAAATATTTAAATAAATTCAAAAATAAAAAATTCGAGTCAAAAAAATACTTAAACAAAGAATTGAATAGATAAATTTAGAACCGAATAAATTAAAAAATATACAAAAGTCGATATTAATATAAAATTGTTGTAAGTTTTTCAAACATTCGGTTTTTCAACATTTTTATTTAATTTACTAATTAGATATTTAACGAATAAGTACATTCACAAACTTTTGGATGCTTAAATTCGATTTTTCTAGTTGAATAATTTTTTTTTGAAAAAAATATAAAAATTTATTATCAACTAGCTAAAGTTAAATTAAAATTAAAACGTGAATTGAGTTTTTTTCGAGTTAAATTCAAAAAGTTCTTAGTGGTATTGAACTTACTACTTTACGAATATATGAAAATATATTTTTTACATTTTTTGTATATAGGATTATTGTAAGGTCAAACTTACAATTAATACAGAAATTATATTTATAACTTAAATTTAACATTTTAATAATTATATATATATGATACTTTTATATATCAATAACAATATAACACAATTTAAACATATTATTATGTGAAGTAATTAAAATATATAGTGTCCAGTTAAGAATGATTTATTTTTGTTTTTGTATATTTTAAGATAAAGTTACGTTTTCTTATAATATAAAAGTAAATATGTTTCAGCCCTTTGTTCATTAATGCTTACAAACATTATAATATAAAAGTAAATATTAAGGTTTCTCTAGCATTCTCTATTCCATATATATATATATATATGTATGTATGTATGCATATGTAGATAAGATGTAAATTATCTGAGGAACCGGTTAAAAATCATATATCAATATTGGTAAATGGTAACAAAAGCAGTCAATTGGTAGAATATGTACGGATGGCCAAATCAAGCATATTGCATGCGTGACGTAGAATTGGAAATACAAATTTTGATCCCATGGAGAAGATGGACGTGTTCAAGTCTCCCATAATTCAGTACTTGTACCCCTTCACGTACAAACTCTCTGAAGCCAACCCGCCGGCAGCTTCTCCGGCGTACTTTCCGAGAGTGGCCTCGGAGTTTGCTGTGCACCGCTCCAGGAATGCCTTCTGCGCTTTCTCCACGTTCTCCTTCTTCCCGCCCCAAATCTTGAGTGTGCTCTGCTGCAGAGCTCGTCCAAATGAGAACGAAAGTGTCCATGGCTTCAACACCTCTAGCTTGTTCATGGCGTTCAAGTTCAACGTTGCTTCTTCCTCGCTTTGCCCGCCGGATAAGAACACGATTCCCGGCACTGCTGGTGGGACGGTCCGGCGGAGTGCAGTAACTGTGTACTCTGCAATCACTTTGGCTGCTACCTGCCCAATAATCAAAATGGATCATCGTCTTGGATCCTTCCTTATGTTCTGGTGGTCATGAATATATACAAGCAAATCTTTGAGATATATATATATATATACATATGTATATATAAGTGCTTTTATTCGTACTATTAAATAATTTAAAAAAAGAATTTAGTCAATTATTTTATATTCTGACAAGGTACCTTGGGACTGTCTGAACCAGGAGTGACCATGTTGGGTTTGAGGAGAGTGCCTTCAAGGAGAACATGGTGGTCGTTGAGAGCCTTGTAAACGGCAGCAAGAACGGTCTCAGTGACGGCGGCGCATTTTTTAATATCGTGAGATCCGTCGGTGAGAACCTCTGGTTCGACAATGGGAACCAGCCCGTTCTCCTGGCAAATGATGGCGTAACGAGCCAAGCCCTGCGCATTCTGCTGGATGGACAACTCGGACGGCTCGGTGGTGCCGATCTTGAGGACAGCACGCCACTTGGCGAAACGAGCGCCGGCTTTGTAGTACTGCTGGCAGCGGGTGCCGAGAGAGTCGAAGCCTTGAGTGGTGGTTTCGCCATTGGTGCCGGCTAATTCGACGGTGCCCTTGTCGACTTTGATGCCGGGGAGGACGTTGTTTTCCTGGAGGACCTCGACGAAGGGTTTGCCGTCGGAGGTTTTCTGGTAAAGAGTTTCCTCGAAGAGGATGACACCTGAGAGGTAGGAGAGGGCGTTGGGAGATGTGAAGAGGAGCTCGCGGAGAGCTTGACGATTGGACTCGATGTTCTCGACGTTAATGCTAGCCAGACGCTTGCCTATGGTGCCGGTGCTCTCGTCGGCGGCCAAGATACCTTTGCCTGGGGTGGCAATGTACTTGGCGTTCTTGATCAGCTCATCTGTGCGTAGAAGATTTTAGGAAAAAAAAAAAAAAAAGGTGGTACTCATTAAATAAGCTGTCTTTATATTTATAAATTAATAATATTGAAGGGAAATATATGTGAAGATTTGGTGATTACTGCTTAAAATTATTAAATTATTATTAAATGGTAATTAATTTGAGCAATGGTGCATGAATTGAGAAGTGAAAAATAAGAAAAACTTTAATTAATTTTTAGGAGTTTTAGTATTGTAATGCAACATGATCTTCTTTTTCTTTTTTTGAAGAGGAAACATTTGAAGTATTAAAGAAAACCAAATCCTCTGGTTTGGATTTGAATTGAGAGAGAAACGAATTAGATGAGTAATTAATATTTGAAGGTTAATTTACGTAGTAATTAGTATATTACAGAAATTGCTTGAGTTGCAAGTAAATTATACATGCAAACACCCCGCGCCGACTGTGCATGCCATGTGAATAATCAAATCAGATTTAACATCATGAATTGTTAAAACCCCATAACAGATTGCTTTATGAGCAGGCATAGTATACAAAAGAATTGCCTATACATACATACATACATGAACTGCTACTAAAGCATGTATGCACGCTGGGGGTAAAAATTGAAGATTACTTTGACAATAAAGCTTTGAACGACTGGAAGTCAGAAACCCAATAAGATTTGATTGTGACGACACTGCACTTGGATTCGGGCACTGACCAAGTTTGTTGCCTTTTTATTTCTTTATACACACATATAATATTTATATCCTGAAACACAGAGAGAGAGAGAGAGAGAGAGAGAGAGAGAGAGTACCTGCGTACTTGCCAACAAAGGCAGACATGGCTTAAGATTTTAAAAAGAGAAGATAAACAGGACGAAAATGCAAAGACAAACTCACCCAAGCATTTCTCTATATAGCTGACCTTTTCCCCAAAATACCCACCAGAATCCAAAACTCCCAACCCTCATGTCCCCGCCACGTGTCCACACATTAACCAAAGGAAGGTTATCATCCTCGGATAAACCAATGAGTGATCCCTCTCTTTCCTATGTGTCACCCCCCACCCACGTTACTCATTTTTGTGTGGAGAAACAAGCTCTGCTCATCCCTTCTTTCCAAAAAACCCCCACAACCCACCCTCCTCTTTGTCTCAAACTCTCAGACGCTTCCAACCACAACTTCCGTGCAACCAAATTTATCTTCAACATGTACATACAGCATGAAAAGAACTCAAATGTTGACATACGAGCAGATTAAGAGGATTTCTATATTGAGAGAATTTGAAAAACAAAAAACTGGAGGTAGGAATTTTATGACATATAATAAAGTGAAAGTATCCGAGATCGCAAATACAAATATAATGGGATGGGTGGGTTGTTAGCTGGTACCGAGCTTTTCAAGGGGTGCCTATCTTAATAATCTCCCTCCCCCCGTAAATTATGAATTGAGAGAAAAATATTGTCTTGTGAGTATTGACTACCAAAATACTTTCTTGTTACTCTTCAGACTATCTAAACACCAAACTGTTTAACCCATCTTATATAAATTTATAATAACTAAACATACATCTCCCCCTCCAAGTCCCAACCACTCTCAGCGCTACCCTGAGCTTCAAATCAAGGCAGGGCAAAAGGAAAACCTGATGAATAATAATAAAGTCAAAATTGAACCAAAACTGGAGGGCGAAAAAGGAAAAGACAAACAAGCTTCGATCAATTATCACATTGTTGGTGCAATGATAGTTTGGAAAATGATTTGTCGGTTCAACGATGACAGCTGCAAATGAATTGCTTCTAGGAGCCAATTACCACTTGCCTTTCATCATCATCTGTTCCGAAATATCGGTCACCAAACTCACCCATACCGGGTACTACACGAAAATCTTCATTTAACCCGATTTCAATCTCGGAGGTCACAATCTTTAATCTCGGGAATCGTTTGCAGACAACATGCACACCCTGGGGTGCCTGAAAAAAATCAAAAAGACATGATATGAAGCATTATAATAAAAATATATGTCCATAAAGCAGAAAAGAAACCATTGGTGACATCAAAACACCAAAGGCCATTTGAAGAAAACTCTTAGGCAGCAAAGGAAGAAAAGGAGTGTTAACTTACAGATATGAGATTCAGAAATATGATATTGGACTCTGGTACACCCTTTCTTATAAGTAGGTTAATAGCTTGAACTGCTGAATTGCCTGAAGAAAAGCTCAGAGATATTAAAAATTTTAACTAGAGTGTCACAGTTACCAGGTTAGAATATAACGTATCAACTTGCCCTAAGAGAAATTTCAGCAATATTAAATTTTTTTAGAATTTTACAGTTACCAGGTCACAGTGTAAACTCTCCTGTATTTAAAAGCTAGTGTCATACTTTACAACATCATACACATTCAGCATTTTCTTTTATTTTTTCCTTTGCTTTTTTTGGCTGAGGGTGGGGGGAGAATGTAGGAAAGTAATGAAGACAGGCGTATTGCAGAGAGATGAGGAACTGACCTGTCCCTAAAATAGGATCCAATAATAAAACATGCCTCTCTGAAATGTCTGTTGGCAATTTTTCATAGATAAGCTAGCACCAACAAAGAACCAGAAGTCAGGAATGTCAAAATTTGCTAAAATGAAGCACAATGTAGAGATAGCAGGGACTTTGAATACCTGCTGGCCATTGTCACCTTCTCGATGAATGAGGATTTTCCCAATCTTGATACCTTTGCAGCATGCTCGCAGAGCATTCTCCATGCTCTCACCACTTGGAATAATTTAATGAATATCAATCAATTGTATTTTTAATGCCATTGCATTAAGTTGTTTATAAAGTAACAAATAACTACGAACAGTGATATCAGCAAAATTTGGATATTTTTAAGATAAAATTTTCATCGTGTTGAGATTTTGGATTATGTCACTACCTTCTGATTACAGAGACACCACACAACCTCTTACAGAAATCTACACCAGAATATACAGATCCTGTATTTGAAGCAAAAAAGAACATTAAGAAGCAGGCAGATAAAGAATTTCATCCACAACAACGTGGGTAAGGAGCAATCAAAAACTACTAAATAAGATAATGTGTATATGAGCTTACCAGTTGGGGTGATCACCTGCTTTTCTGTAAATGGTAAATGCCCAAGACCATGTTCCACAACCTGGAAAAAATGCAATAACGTTGATAAGGTAAACAAACCAAATATAGAAGCTGTTGTATCATATATGAAACACGTGGAACTTATACGTACCAAACGAATCAACCGATCAGAATAGAAAACAAAATCATGTTTTGTCGTCAGAGAATCGCGTATGAGAGTGTGCATACCACGTATCTGCATTAGACGATCAGTAAATGTATTAATCACCTAGAACATGGACCTCCAGAATGCATGTGTCTAATGGTTAACTAGACTAGCAAAAAAGGACTAGTGACAAGACAAGGATATTATAAGGTCATTGAAAGCACACACTGATCATGATACCTGAAAAGTTGATTGAATAACATATAGATTGGGATATATTTTACACAGATCATGCTGACCAAGCTTCATCCGGATATGTTGCACAATCAAGTCAATTGCCACGTGATTATCTCCCCCGCGTGGAATTATGATATCAGCATATTTCTTAGTTGGAAGTATAAAGTCATCAAAAGCAGGCTTCACAAACTTTGAGTACTGCGTCGACGATAATAGAATATTAACAACAAATTATCAAAAAAGACAATAAAGAAAAAGTAAGAAGCAAGCAAAATGAATTTGACAAAAATAAAATAAATGAAATGAAAATTTTGGGAGGATCAGTAAAGAACAGGAGGGGGACCGGAGGATGGGAGAGAAAAACCTAATCTTAGAAGTTGAAACGTAAAAGAAATGATGTAGTGGAGCATATCAATTAGTTGGAATATAAAAGAAATTATCCTTTAACATATTTTTCTTCTTACAAAATATAAGCATTACATTCAAGATCTGATGTATGGATTAAGATCATAAATGTTCAACACACATTGAGATAAAAAAAATCTTAAAACCAGTAAAACATCAAAAAGTAGCAAACCTGATCAAGTACAGCACCAATATCTCTACCCTTCTCAACAGTATCACGCCTTATCCTCCTTGCCAATCGTACATCAGCATCTGCACTGAAAATTTTTACAATGTGAAGTAACACCCCTGCTTAGTGACACAACCAAATGATGCAAAAACACTTTCCACAACATGTACAAGACATTTTCCCATTTGATAGATATCCAGCAACTGCAGACTCCAGCAGAACGACAGGATAAAACATCTAAAGGAACCAAAGTGAAAACCAATGTAATAACTGGGAATTTCATTTCAGATAACAAATTACAAAACAACTCCAAGAGACCAACTGAATGCAAATATATATAAATGATTTGGTAAATTGAATACCTATATCAGTTGAACGAGAAAATGAGAAAACTGTTTGTGAGACACAGACCTAGAGAACAATGCAGATTGCCTCCACAGTCAAAAAATTCAACAGGGTAATGTTTCATTCAAGTTATTCTAGTTATAGAGTTAACCCCTCAACTACGATCCCAGGTCCATGTACAGTTGAAGGAAAGGTGCATTACCAACACTACTATTTTCATTTGCATGTATTTTACTTTTCAATCATCAGCAACATACTCCATTCACATAAAAGACAAAGCCTATATTCAAAAACTTGGTTAGAGCCTAGAAATATTGTAACTTATAATGTATTAGTCAAGAAAGTGTTTGAAATTGCTAAAACAAATGTGATTAAAACCAATAGAGTCCTCCAAATTACTAAAAGAGGGTAAATTCTTCTTTGAAAAATAAGCAATTACGTTTTTGGATGAAGTACTAATTGCAAAAACTAAACAATTATGTACTGTAAAAAATTAATAAGAATTGTACATATTCATTATAAATGTTTTATGACATTTTACGTATATTGTTAATTTTAAAAAAATATCAATAGAGTACTTGAGTAAACTAGTGACCAAACAATAAGAACCTAAAAAAAATTAGGAATTCAGTGTTTATTTCTTACTGTTAAGAACTTAAGAAACACCTTGTATTTTATGTTACCAAATGCAGAGTTTAGGGCAATGTGCTTAAAACAGTTTATGAACAAAAGAATAAATAATCTCAAACAACCTCTAACTATTGATTTCAAGGTTCAAAAAGAAAGGGAACTCTTTACCCTATTACTTGTAAGAAGAAATACCTTAATATACAGGAAAACATTTACAAGAAAATATTTGATAAAAGATTGACATCAATGTTAGGCTATTTTCTGTTGTGGAATAAGATCCCTATAAAATACAACAGAAAAACAAATGTAAGGCTCGCTTAAGCATAAGACTATGACTGCGACCCCAAAATTTGGAATTTACTTAGAATAATACTGAGATCACAAATAATAGACAATCAATGAAAAAGAAATAAGAAAAGGAGACCTGTATCAACAAATATCTTCATGTTCATCAACTCACGGACACGAGGATCGTGAAAAATCAGAATCCCTTCTAAAATTATAACATCTGAAGGATTGACCTGCAAAGTATTTAAAGCAATGGCAGCCTTTTTTAGTGCATTAAATCTAGATTACATAGCCAAATCAGCTCCATATCTATGGATGACACAACTGGAGAGAAGATATGATAGGACCTCAAATCAAGGCCACTGAAAAACAGGCTTAGCACACCAATTAATGAAAAAGAAAAGAACACATTGCAAGTCAGATAAATGTGAGTACAGTAATCATCTACTAATGGATAAAACAAACGGAGATACAGCATTCCCATTTTAAATTATTTTACTTATCTTGTAAATTTCTTCTTGTGGAATACCATCTTTTTTATTGAGAAAATCACTGAATATGACAAGGTTGAGAGAGAAATATTAACAATGATGAACTCAATTCCAACCTTGGTTTTATCGTTTTTTTTTTTTTTTTTTTGTGAGAGAAAGATGCCTCTAAAGTAGATTTCTTGTGAGCAATGCCAAGAGACGCTAAGATCCTAAATATGCAATCCCAAACAGTCATTTGTATTCTCCAGAGTGAAGAAACAGGTAAAAGACTAACACGCATCTGATTCCAAGATGTCCATGGAAGCATTTTGTGAACAAAGTCTCAAATCCATATCAAATTACAAGATGTGGCAATAAAAGAAGAACAATACCCTTCTTGCTGGAAAAACATTGTTCTTGTAACTCTTGAAGTCATAGTTTGGAATATCTACTGCTACACCACATCTCAGGTTCTCCATAGACCATAATAATTTTCCAGTGTCAAATGCATCTATAATAAGAGCAAAATAGACTTGATGAAGTAATCTAAAAAAAACTAATGACGAAGGAAAAAATAATTCTTTATCGGACAATATATAAGTATCCAGTAGAATATGAATTTGTTGGACAAATCTCCTTACCAGGATGGTCAAAGTTGTACTCATGAACTCGTACAAGTTCCTCTTCAGTCAGATTATGGTAGAATGAATCCTGTCATATAATTTATGTGGTGTATTTAGTTTTAAAGGAAATTTGTTTGAATCTGTTTACATCATGAAACCAAGATTTCTTTCTGAACTTCAGCATCAGTTATAGAACTAAGAAGTTGGATGCAATGAAAATTCATAGGAAAAATCTGTCACTTCTTTTTTTCCTTGAGACAGGGAAAATATAGTACTTTTTTAGGGGAAAGAGATAGAATAAAGATCCCAGTAAATAAATACAAGCAGAAAAACATCACATAACTAGGAATGAAGCATAACTTTTTCTTGAGAAAGAAACTAAAGCATACCTACCAACATGATGACAATTAGTAATCAACAACTATAAAATGATACATATATCAACTCCATTTCAAATAAGGTTCAAATGAAAACCAATAGCCAAAAATGTACATAGAGAACTGGAATGTGATCCCTACAATTAGAAGCGCTTAAATACTTAAATTCAAAATGAAAGACATCATGATGCTAAAAAATACTACTTGAAATCTGGAAAAAAAATTACCTGGTTAACAAGTACAACACGCTGATCATGAAGTTGCTGAATAATCATATCACAGACAGTAGTCTTTCCAGATGCAGCACCACCAGCAACACCTAACCATAATTAAATCAATTACAGAACAACTAGAAGACACCCCAGACAGAAGAAAGCTAGAACCACTCACAAAGCATAGACCAACACTATTGTAATTCAATAGA